GATATTTTTAATAAATTTATAATTATAGTCTATATCTTCTCTATTAAAAGAGAAGTACCATTTTTATCTACCATTAAGAAGTCTTACTAGGTAGACATATGGATTTTATAATATTTATTTAAAAAAATATCATGCTTGGTGATGTAAAACTAAAAATCTAATAAAATGAATATTGTTCGGATTATGCGGGTATTTCAAAGTTGTAACAATTCATATTGATTTAAATGAATAGTGTCTTTTAATTTGAAATAAAATTAAATAGAAAAAAGATATTATTTTATTTATACATTCCAAATCATTATTTTTTACATACCATATTAACTACAATTATCATTATCATTTCTGCATTGTATACGGGTCAAAAATTCATTTTGATATATATATATATATATATATATATATATATATATATATATATATATATATATATGGGGAATAAGCTAAAATTTCTTTAATATGGTCATTTGCTTTTGGTCACAAAATATTTATCAAGTATAAACAGGTTAAACTAATATATTAGTCATTTTTATTATAAACTAACAAACGGATTAATAGTTTTATTAACAAAAACGAAATCCCGCGCTTTCAAAGAGCGGGTCAAAATCTACAATATTTACAGATATGCCACTAGAATATTTTAAACCTATGATTTTTATTTAATTCATTACAAAATCTATTTAATCCTAACAAAATCTATTTAATCCAACAATATTAATTTTAAGCTTTTTTAGATAACATTTTAACCCCTCCTTAATTTTAGGATTGATTTGTTTGTTCTATAATTGTTTTATCTATTTTCAAAATTAAAAATATCCAATATATTTTTAACATCTGCACTTAATTACAATTAAAACTATGTGAAAAATATTTTTCAATATTTTAAAATATTTACACATGATGCAATTATGATTTAAAATGACCAAATAAATGTTAATTTTTAAGTTTAAATAAATAACTACAAAGATTGCATTTTAAAATCAATATGACATAAATTTACTAAATATATGCGCTTAAAAGGTATAATTTTACATAAATTTTAATTATTTTTTAAATAAATATTTCAAATTTTAAAATAAAGTTGATTTTACAAAATTAATCTGCAATTAATGAAGTAGAAATTTTACAATTAATATTTACAGATTGTTTCATTAAATATGTTAAATATTTCTTGAGTACAAATGGATCTCACAAATACATTTTTTATTTCTATTGTCATCTAACAAACAAGTTAATAATTTTATCAACAAGAAACGGGTCTCTGNGCAATTAATGAAGTAGAAATTTTACAATTAATATTTACAGATTGTTTCATTAAATATGTTAAATATTTCTTGAGTACAAATGGATCTCACAAATACATTTTTTATTTCTATTGTCATCTAACAAACAAGTTAATAATTTTATCAACAAGAAACGGGTCTCTGTCTAGGAATGATTCAAAAACGAATTGGTAAAATATATATCTAAAAATTATTTTTTATTTAAAAAAATCAATTTTAACCAATATGAAATTATTAAAAATTAATTATCTTATTTCAGTTTTTACAAATCAATACTTTAGATTACCGAATAGAACTCATAATTTTATCGGGTCCCTATAATTTGTTATTTAACTAAAACGAATAAAAAAATAAATCCTACACCACACATTAAATTGTATGTAATTTTATTTAATCTATATATGTCGGACCAAACCAAATTATTAACGACAATCAATCTGAACCCGGATACTCATGCCTATACATACTTGTGAATAATCGAACAAGGGCATAAATTTAAAGCAAAAACGGTTGACCCGCCCTCTTTAATGGCGGGTCAAAATCTAGTTCTAACTTTTAAAGTAGGAGCTCAAATGCGAAATTGATTCACAAATCATAATATGATGGATAGATAGATTATGAATGCTTAAAATTAATTAGGGGGCGTCTGAAATGACGAGAATTCCACAAAACTTCCATTGTCTAAGTCTCTGACCATATCAGTTCAATTACAGAAACCCCTAATTATGCTCCTAGCTAGGTGTTAAACTCTAATATAAGCCCATAACCTTCTGTACATAACTAATATTAGCCATCTCCAATTTGAATTATTCAAATACATACAAGAAAAGACCAAAGGCTCTCCATGAAGTTCGGAGTCATCTTGATCTATATAACCTGACTATGTCCTCTTCATTTGTTCAATCCTCGGGTCGACAATAATAAATCGAAGAGCAACTTAATTTTTCAAACTCCACAGCCTACACCCAATCCTAATAACAAAAAACAATAAATAAATAATGGGTGGCTGTGCGAGTAGACCCAAGGAGTCAGACATGAACAACGAAGGCTCTGTTCCCAAGCCTGAGTCTGAAAACGTAGTAGCCAAGGTACGCAACAAAACCATTTAGGTTTTTTAAATTTGAAAAATTAGGTTACAGAACCGTGGTCAACAAGTTATGATGTTTTGTTTGACAAGTTCTGATGTTTTGGTATGATGATAATACAGGAGATCAACACTGAAGAAAGCAGTGAGAAACAAAACCAGACAGAAACCACTGAAACAACTCCTGTCGAAGCTAAGGAGACATCTGAGGTCGAACCGACCAAGGAAACTGCTCCTACTGCTGAACTAGAGGTTGCAGCAGCCGTGGAAGAGTCATCTTCTGCTGGTGAGGTTGCAGCAGCACCTGAGAAAGTGGAGGACGTAGCGGCTGCAACAGAAAACGTTGAGGCGGTTGCCGTAGCTGCTGCACCTGAAAAGGTTGAGGTTGCAGCGAAAGCGGCAGAGGCCGAACCCGTAAAGGAAGAGAAAGAAGCTGTTGTCACCGTTTGATTGGATTAAAGCTGTGAAAATATTTTGAAACGTTGTCGTATAACCACCTTGATTTGATTTGCCACTACCTGATTTAATTAATTGGCTTCGGTTGTTCTTTGTATGTCATTATGATTCTTCTTTGATTCAATTATATAAATCAGTTTTGCAATAAAAAAAAAATAGCAAATCGGTTAAATAAATCTTGATATGAAATTCTCATGAAGCAAAACTAATTTATATAATAATTATATATTTTTACTATTGACTTTGCTGCGTTTGAGAGTGGTAATAGTTATTGGTGTCTTTTTCATACCGCTCCAAATCAAAAGGAACACTAATAATGTCTTTCAGACAATTAAATTTCTTGACTGACTCTTTAATCTTGTAATTTCACTCCATAACTTTTATCTATTGGACAATTCTAAAGCCTAAGGAAAAAAAACAAAAAAAAAAGTGGTAGTATATGTTGAAAATTAATGTTACAAAAATTGGTAGACGGTAATTATAAGCTTTGGCGTAGTGCATAGGAAAATCATTTGATTATTATTTTTTTTTTGTCAAATCATTTGATTATTTATTACATATTTTCTATCTATATTGAATATTTTTTTTATTTAAAACATTATTGAAAATAGGGAAATTGCCAAATATAGCACTTTCATAATACCACATTTTATTTATACCTTAACCAACTTTACCATTAAATTTTTAATTGGAAAAGTACTTATATACCCTTTAACTAATTAAGCCAAAAACTAAGTCTTCTCTCAGATTCAATCGATCTTGGCGACGAAGCCTGAAGAGTTTTACGGCAAGATCTGAAGAAGCTACGGCGAGGTCCGACGAAGCTACGGCGAGGTCCGACGAAGCTACGGCGAGGTCCGACGAAGCTACGGCGAGATCCGAGAAGCTGTGGCGAAGCATTCTTCTACAAGATCAAAATGGAATTGCGGTAAGTTCTGTTTGATACATCATTACCAAAGCTTTGAGCGTAGTACTTTGTCTACGACGAGAGGCAAGATCACTATTATTGTACGAGGATGAACACTGATTGATCTTATAAAGAATGTAAGCTGTGAGCTTATCTGTTCAGTTTGAAGTTTTTTTCTAGGAATGGTAAAGTAGAGCTCTTTTCTGTTCAATTTGAAGTTTTTTTATTTGTGTATTGTGGTAAAGTTTGTGGCTTTTTTTTTTTATAAACGTTCATGAACTTGCTGCAAGTAAGATTTCGTGATAATAGATTTGAGTATGATCTCCAACTGGTGTATCTTACTTTTATCTGTGTTGAGTTTTTTACAGAATCCTTGCGCAGTTAGAAGACGATGTGGTTCCGTGTGAATCGCAGATGGAGAATTGGAAAACGAATTTGGAAGTAATGGCAGCCAAGGAGGAACAGTGCATACAGCAGTAGAAGAAGTATGAGGTAGAGAAGCCTTCTTTTCCTTTTAGTGTTTAGATTCTCCTTAGGTGATAAGTAAGCTGAGAATCAGATACATTCCTGCAGTTAGATGAGAATCAGATACATTCATGTAAAAACTGGAACAAAATCTCTGAGAGTTGAAACGGGAATAATTAATTTAGTGATGTAAGCAAGTAAGCAAGTACTAGCTTATGAATGCCAATAGGATCTTATAGATTTGTGACGAGATGGTTTTTAAGTTCAGAATCATCGGTAACTAGTAAAGAAATGTTGAGGGAACATAATATAGTTTAGGGCAATCAGGAAGCTGGGGTGTGAGTATCTTAGTGTTAGTGTGTGTTTACACATTTTTGAGATCATAAGCTAGTGACTGCACCTGATACTGATAGTAGAGTTCTCTTGCATAGGTTTGAAAGAGCGAACTGAGAAATAGCGTTAGGCCCTGAAGATTGAGTATAAGCTGTTACTTTGTTTTTTCTGTGTCCAGGGGAGCTTTGTTACAACCTTAAATGAAGATTATGAATCAATCTGCTGGGGCTGTGGACTAAACCTCGTTCTTCCATCATACGCACCTGTTTTCAAATGTGGCTGGTGTGGTGCAATCACGAATCAGAATCCAGTCAGACCTGAAACCAGAAGCCTTTGGTTTCTTGCTGTTTTTATGCTCTTTGTCATATGTAAGTTTCTCTAAATTATCTAAGAACAACATAAATGTAGAAATGATATTTGCCATTCTCATACTCTGTTTTTATGCTCTTTGTCATATGTAAGTTCCTCTAAATTATCTAAGAACAACATAAATGTAGAAATGATATTTGTCTTGTTTGTGATCCAAACTCTGATAAGAACGTCCTAAAACTTTTGCAGGATGGGATCTGGGTGGCGTCAACAGATTATAAAAATGCAAGTCCTGATCCACTTCAAGATGTTGCAGAAGACATTGTCAACAATATTAACACTAACAACATGGAAGATATTTTTCGTTTCTGCAACTTATACGTTGATCTCAACTTTGTGGTTAGTATGTACTTAAAGAACGTCCAAATAGATTAGATGTTTATGGAGCATAACTACTAGTTTCACTTCAGATTAGTTGGCTTGTGGAATGATCAGAATTCAGAACTATACTTTCTCTGCCTAATGACAGGTTTCAGAGACAAAGATGATATGGATGGATAGGCTTGGATTTGACCTTCGAGTGTGGTCTCCACGAGGTGTATACGATGTCAGGATTCCATTTCCAATGGAAGTGACAGATGAAAAAGGAACCAAGTCATCGTTTAATGGAATGTCACAGCTCGCTTGGGAAGTAGAGAAAAGTTATTGCCCTGCAGATTTCAACAAGGTTAAACTACTTAAGCAAGTAGTTGGATCACCACCCAAGGGAGTACAATAGCTGTTTTATTAACTCTTTTTTTTTTGGTACCATTCTCTACTAGTGGATGCCAAAATCTGGCATTGGCTCTGTTGTATCTATTGGATTACTTTCTTTTTTGAGTAATAGTAGGAATGCTTAATCCCAGTGAAGCAAGACAAGCCATCACTGAAGTCCATTTTTTCCCTTTTAACCCTGTGGACAAGCGTACTGCTATCACTTACATTGATTCTAGCGGAAACTGGCAATGTGTCAGCAAAGGCGCACCAGAACAAGTAAGAAAACGCATATTCTAGAGAGTTGTTGAGTTCTTTCCCACTGATTGGTCTCTGTAATGTGCAGATCATTGAGCTATGTAACCTTAGAGAGGATACAAATAAGAGAGCTCATGACATCATTGACAAGTTTTCTGATAGAGGACTTCGTTCTCTTGCTGTTGGCAGACATGTGAAAAAAGCTTTTTAGTGCCAATCCCAGATGTTTGAAGACTATGTCTTTCTTTTGTTAAAATGCTATTTTCTTCTTTTGGCTGTTATTAGACTGTCTCTGAGAAAGACAAGAACAGCCCTGGAGAGCCATGGCAATTTCGTGGTCTGTTACCACTCTTTGACCCTCCAAGACATGATAGTGCAGAGACAATCAGGCGTGCCCTTGACCTTGGTGTCAATGTCAAGATGATCACTGGTGACCAGCTTGCCACTGGTAAGGAAACTGGTCGTAGGCTCGGTATGGGCACCAACATGTATCCTTCTTCTGCTCTACTTGGACAGGACAAGGATGAATCTATATCTAGCATTCCTGTTGATGAACTCATTGAGATGGCTGATGGATTTGCCGGTGTCTTCCCCGGTAAAAAAATAAAACTTAATGTAGCATCCATCCCATTGTCTCTTAATGGATCATTGATGAATCTGTTTCATTTGTCTGATTAGAACACAAGTATGAGACTGTGAAGAGGCTCCAGGAGATGAAGCACATTTGTGGCATGACTGGTGATGGAGTGAACGATGCCCCGGCTCTCAAGAGAGCTGACATTGGAATAGCTGTTGCTGACGCCACTGATGCAGCGAGAAGTGCATCTGACATTGTACTTACTGAGCCAGGNCTCCAGGAGATGAAGCACATTTGTGGCATGACTGGTGATGGAGTGAACGATGCCCCGGCTCTCAAGAGAGCTGACATTGGAATAGCTGTTGCTGACGCCACTGATGCAGCGAGAAGTGCATCTGACATTGTACTTACTGAGCCAGGTCTCAGTGTCATAGTTAGTGCTGTCTTGACGAGCAGAGCCATCTTCCAGAGAACTACACAATCTACGCAGTTTCCATCACAATCTGTGTAGTGATAGGGTTTATGCTGCTTGCACTCATATGGAAGTTCGACTTCTCACCATTATAAGAGTCTGTCATGTCCTCTATGACTAATAGATAAGCTTTCTTATATTTTTTGCTTGCCTTAATCCTGTTCCAAGCTTACTTCCAACGAATCAGAAATACTGATTACAATTGAAATGTTAGTATATGCAAAATAAATAAATTATTCAACATCTAATGAGACTAACTTAATGTCACGTTATCTTGAATATAATAAAATCTTATCATTTAGTTGTGGAGTAAGATTCGGTTTAAAACTAAAGTCTGTGATGATCTCTGTTGCTTGAAAACTTTCTTGCTTGTGCACCGAACACAAACACGTGAATACTTTTTCCAAAATTACTAAACCTGCCACTACCAAAGCACAGAATTGTTTTTTTTTTGTCAACGAGCACATAATTGTTTACTCTTTTAATATTCTTATAAATGATTTATAGACCCTTATAAAAAGTTTCTATATATTCATAGAAATGATTTTTGAGACTTTATAAAGCAATTACCTTATAAATTTTTACAAATTTTTATAAATGATTTTATAAAACTTTATAAATATTTGGTATATTGTTATAAGTGATTTTATAAGAGTTTATAAATCATTTATAGATTATAAAACCTTATAAAATATTTGGTATATTGTTATAAGTGATTTTATAAGGGTTTATAAATCATTTATAGGAATATAAATAAACTATTGATAAAGGTTTATAAATGATTTCTAAATCTTCATAAATGATTTTTGTACCACGTTGGCGATCTTTAACTCTATTTCACTAAAGTTTTTGCTGCTGCCTGTCCGGAAAGTGAATCAGACAATGACCTCGATGATGAATCAGACAATGATCTCGATGATGATCCTGTGGTGAGCAATAATAATTTTGCTTACTTTTGTGTTGTATGTTTAAATTCTGTGTTATAATAATGAACACTACAAATCGCCCGAGATAAACCCATACCTTATTAAAATTCATATTAGTCTTGAGACTTGCTTGCTTAATCTTGTTAATAGCTTTATCTATCAGAGCTAATAAATCTATTTAAAATTGGTTATCAAAACAGTTTATAAGGATTTCTAAATATATTATTAAAGTATAATTCATTTATAAGAGTTTATAAAACCAGTCTATAAGGATTATAAATAATTTATAAATGTTTATAAATCAGTTATGACGATTTAGAAATCATTTATAAACCTTTATCAATAGTTTATATATTCATATAAATGATTTATAAACCTTTATAAAATAACTTATAAATGATTATAAGAGTTTACAAAGAGTGATGAGTCTTTAATAAAAAATTTACAACGAAAATTTATAAGAGTTTATAAGAGTGATGAATCTTTAATAAATGATTTACAAAGGTTTATGGACTATTTTCAGAATTTTATAAACCTTTTTATAAATCATTTAAGAATTAACTTAATCATTTTTAAGGGTTAATAAATTCATTTATATGGATTAAAAAGCATATTAAAACATTACTGATCATAACTCTCCTATATTTATAAAAGTTAATAAATCAATTCATATGAGTTTATACAAAACTTTATAAGGGTTTATAAATCAATTTATAAGAGTTTATAAATCAATTTGTAAGAATAACATTCTTGTAAATCAAAATAAAATATCTTATAAAATCAGTTTATAAGATTTCATAAAATCAGTTTCTGAACCCTTATAAACCTTTATAAATAATATATAAGCTTTTACATATAATATATTAACTCTTATAATATTAGATACTTTATAAATGTTTTATAACCCCTGATAATTTGTTTATAAACACTTATAAATGACTTTTTAAACCATATGAACAATTTATAAATCCTTATAAATGACTTTATATATCCTCTTATAAGAGTTTTTATATCTATTTCATAAAACTTGTCAACATTATATAATATTTTATTAATTTTCTGATATTCTAAGAAGAGCATGCTTTTGATATTCTAAAACAATGTGTGAATAGGATGTGTTGGGACCGTTTACGAGTCGAAGAAAATTATGAACAATTTATAAATCCTTATAAAATAACTTTATATATTCTGTTATAAGTTTTTATATCTATTTCATAAAACTTGTCAACATTATATAAGATTCTATTAATTTTCTGATATTCTAAGAAGAGCATGCTTTTTGATATTCTAAAACAATGTGTGAATAGGATGAGTTGGGACCGTATACGAGTCGAAAAACATTAGAAGTGCATTGAGTAAATGTATTTATAAATGATTTATAAACTTTTCTAAATGAAAACTCTTATAAATTGTTTTATGAAGATTATTAAACTCTTTTAATATTGTTTGTATAAATCCTTATAAATTGATTTATAAACCTTCTAAATAGATTTATAAACTCTTATAAATGGGTGATAAGTTCTTTTACATGATTTTATAAATTCTTATAAATAGTTTTATAAACCATTATAAATATTTTTTTGGAATATTTATAATGACCGGTGAAGGCGTGTGCGAATAGCATGTCTAATGCAACGCACTGCTCTCTCCCAATCCAAACTTCCTTGTGGAATAGACATTGCCAGATACTATCAAACCGAAAAAATAAAGATTCAAATTGCCTGCCTTAAAATCATGTACATTACACAACTAAACTATGAAACTAATTACCTCTCCACATAAAGGTTCCCTAAGTACACTTGGATATGTAATCGGCGAGTAGCAAAGGTGAGCCACAGCTTCAACTGAAACACTGGCAGGTGTTTGAGACGATATACGATGAGTACCAAACGTTGGACAGTGAAGATGTTGATCCAACATGAGCATATGCATAGCCATGGCATCTCTCCTCCGGTGTATCTCCATGAAAAGAGTAAACAAAGCTTCATCATCATCAGGTATGTTCTCTATAAACTGCAAACCACTGCACAACAACTCATAAAAAGGAATCCTAGATTTACCCTCGTCTACCAACACCCACATCACTTCCAAACAGCTCCGTAACCATTCAGCTAAACTCTTCTCAGTTCCCATCTCTCTCATGTCCCAGTTCACAAGCCAACTCATCATGTACTGGAAGATCTCAGCATGAGTGAAAGGTTTGAGATTAAATTCAATGCCAATCAAAATAATTTTGCAACTGATCTGACGCAGACTGTTTATAGCTTCAGCTCTTACACGCTGACTATTCCTCATAGCATTATCTCTTACAGTGACAGAACCTTGTTCATTACCTGAAGGTACAGGGACTAAAGACTGTGAAGAAGTAGCAGAAGAACCTGCTTGGTTTAGTGAGGCCTCAGCAGCGGAGACTGAAGAGAGAAGGGATGGTAAAAAGGTATCCCAGTTAATGTAACTAACTCTAAATAATGTACGCAAGGCGAAGAGAAGAAACTCAGCTCTAGGTGCATGGTTGCTACACTGCAACACCATAGTTACCAAAACAGACTCCGTGACTACCCTTAACTGATCTGGATCCTGAATAAGACTTGGATAGTTGGATATATAAGCAAAAAAAAAAGAAAAAATCTTTTAAGAGAAGATAAAAAAGGATGAAAGCTTTTTTACATTGAATTGGCTCTGAAACTGCTCGAAATCCACAATTGAACTGCTCGAAGCTTTTTTATAAATGTCACCACCAGCTCCCCTCTTCACCCCTGAAGAAACCACCTTCACATTGTCACAGCTCTCTCCCTCCGAGTCACTACTGGTTCCACCACCAATGGTCTTCTTAGTCCCACTACTCTCCATCTCAGCCTCATTACCTCCTCCAAAAGAAGAGTTCAAAACATCAATGTATCAAGATTCATATACGCCTTGAAAATATCGTCCACAGCTTCACTCTCAGATTGTCTTCTTCCAGGCTCTTCCTTGACCCAATTTGAAGCCTCTCCTCCTCCTCCCCCAGAGACAGATCTCTCCAGAGACCTCGACGGGATCAAAGGACTCTGAGTCACTTTCACCGCCCACTAATCCAGGCTCCCTCCTCCTCCCCCTAATCCCTCATCCCCACCGCTGACGAACTCTCCGATCAGACCAGATCCTCTTCCGCCGCACCTCCTCTCTCCTCTTTCACCCTAAAACCAGAACAACGATAGAAAAGAAAGTAGCTAGGGTTAGTTTTGTAATTTGTCATTAAATGAAAGTGGTGTATTTGAAAAATGTAATTAAATTGTGGTATATTTGAAAAGTGGTAATGTGAAAGTGGTAGTTATGAAATTTTCCCTTGAAAATAATGAACAAAATGAGCAAATAAAGAATTCAAGAGATTGTTACAACAAAAGAAGAAAATAAGTGAGAAAGTTACATGGGCCGTGAGGCCCAAAGTAGCTTAGAAGAAAAATCACCCATTAGAGACCGGAAGAAAGGAGATAAGACACGAGAAGCAGAACCGAAACAAAACTCAAAAGTCTCAGTGTAAGAGAAAAAAAGAAACTCGAAAAAAATGGGATTAGGCGGCGGAGAAGGCGAGCAGAGGAGTGGCGGCGGCGGAGAGATGATGGCGATGTCGAGCTTATTCAAGGACCAGCAGAATCCAATCCAACAGCTACAAGTCAAATTCAAGGAGGTAGAAGTCGGTTTCAAGACGTGGCTATCAAAGCAATCGATTCCAGTAGAAGCAGCGGTCGTATCGACCATGAGCGGTGTGCAGGGAGCTTTCATAGGAGGTCTCATGGGAACACTCTCCCCTGAGATGCCTCAGGCCGACCCTCAAGCCATGGCGTCGATGAAGCAAGCTCAGGTTCTTTCTTTTAGCTTTCTATCTTGTAATAATATGTGAAATGATGATTGTAAATGATGGAAGTGAGTTTCTTGAAGGCTCTTGTGGGTGGGCCATGGGTCCAAGCTCGGAACTTTGCTGCTATTACTGGTGTTAATGCTGGAATTGCTTGTGTTATGAAACGGATTAGAGGCAAAGAGGATCTTGAATCTGCGTAAGTCTCACTTACTTGTGTTCTTAGTTTTGTAGTAAATACTTGTGTAAGTCTGTTGGTTGGTTTATTGTTACGATGTTTGGAATTTGTTTGTTTGATCCGTAAGGCGAGCGCCAAGGCGCCAAGGAATGTGTTAGTTAATTGAGTTGTTTTCTGTCAACATTAGTTTTACTACTTATTTGAATCACCACAATACCAGAAACTCACATTTGGTGCCTTCAGGCATTTCTTGTTTTTTTTTCTTTTTCTTGTCACCATTCTGATCATTGTTTTTTTAGATTTGATAAAAATTCGAAACTAATGGCAAATCACTCTTAATGAGCGTTCCTTCACATGATCATGATAATGATCTCTTTTGTATCTATCTTTAGTATATATCTTGAATTTTAAGTCTCTGTGGTTAAGTAAGATGTACACTCTTCCTCTAGGGTTTTTTGATATATAAGATTATTCTTAAACTCACTCATGAAAGCTAAAGATTCTAGTTTGCTTGCTTGTTGAGGTTACAAGTTTTTAAAGAGCAATGGTTTGAGTTTGCAGCGTGGTGGCAGCATTAGGATCTGGATTTGCCTACTCTTTGGTGAGCCAAGGCTTGCAAGGACAGCCCGTTAACGCAATCACTACCGCTGCTGGTTTTGCTGTCTTCCAAGGAATATTTTTCAAGGCGAGTAATCACTTGTAGTGTTTTTACTTTTATAATATTAATCATACATAAGCATATATGTTCTTACCAACCATTTTTTTTGTAACTTAGTTGGGAGAAAGATTCTCTAAACCAAGTCCTGAAGATCCGTTTTACACACGATCAAGAACCATGCTACTGAAGCTAGGTCTTCAGAAATACGAGAAGAACTTCAAGAAAGGACTTCTAACAGATCCCACGTTGCCATTACTCACCGATAGGTTATATATCCTCTCCATGCTTTCATTTATGTAGCCACTTAAGACTAATGTCATATCGTTTTCTCTTTTTTTTTTTTGTTATCAAGTGCGCTAAGAGATGTGAGCATCCCACCAGGGCCAAGGCTTCTGATACTAGACCATATCCAGAGGTTCGTAAACCAACTTCTCTGCTCTTTCATTGATGAAAGACTAAAATGACTGAATTGGATTGTCTTTGAGTGCAGGGACCCTGAGATAAAGGCTAAACGAGGAAAGTAGTAAGTGAGCCTTTTGTTTATATGGTCATTACTGGAATCAATCTGTTTTTGGCTGTACGGATGTTCAAATACAAATGTAAGGTCTTGTTTTGTTTATTTTCCCTTCGCTGATATTTGCTAGGAAGAACTACTCTTGTAAGATTCTTCTGTCTCTACTAGCAATGTTTGATTCTATCTTTAATTTTGAAAGCATTTTATATCCTGGAGAAATAAATGGGATATGCTTGGTATGATAATAAGATGATCATATATACGGCTGTCTTAACCATAAACATTGGCAAATCACCAAAGGCATGGTGAAATACAGTAAACTTAATAAAAAATGAATGATGCTATTTCCATTGATAATGAATATTTAAATAGTTTGTTGACGTTGGACCTGGATTTACCTTATTTAATCGTCTCTCTGTTTACCTATTTATTTTATGTAGATCAAAATATCTTCAATAGAATATATATAAGTATTACCACTCAGAAAAAAAAACTTGATGAGATGTATGTCTGACCGTCGCCGTAATCGTGGAAGTCGTAAAAACAATCTAAAAATATCTATTTCACGTTAAAAAATACTCTTAGCACTGATTGATGAAAATCACACCACCAGAAAAGATATCATATTCTAATGTAAACTCTACTTGGCATTTGGTTGACAAAAAAAAAAAAAAAAAAAAACTCTATAGAACATCTCTAACTTATTTACTTTTATTAATAGTAGTATTTAGAGGCAAATCTATTTCTCATTTTAATTCTTTTTCTTTCAATATAGAATTCATATACTTTTTAAATTTTCATTTAAATATTGCTATTTAAAAAATATATATTCTGTTATAATTTTCTTCTATTTCAAAGGAAAATATATATTGGAGATAGTTTTTTTTTTTTTTTGAGCAATATTGGAGATAGTATTATTTACCAAAAATATATTGGAGATAGTACCAGATGAAGGAAGATATAACTCTCTATTAGTTGGTAGATTCTATTCCCAAAATATTCAGAGTTTTTTTTTGAAAAAAAATATTCTTAGTTGTTAATGGACCGAGATCACCTTCCAGTTGTTATTTCAGTTTTTTTCGTTGTCCTTTTCATGACTTTCAAATGATGAAAATTAGTTTTAAAAATTGTTTTCATGGGCGTACAAAAAAAAAGTCTGATGACTGTTAAAAGTTTTCTAGGTATATAAATGTTGAAACTTTGCAGCTTTATGATGAAAATCGAATTTTAATACAGTAATATTCTGTTTTACTTTTACTTTGGTTTACATTTAACTAGCTCTAGAGGTTTTGAAACTATAAAAGAAATTAAAAAAAAAAACTAAAAACTGGCATAGATCTTAGGATTCTTAGCCATTTTTACAGATATGTATCAAACTATGAGTTCATAACAACAACTTCGAGAGAGGAGGAAGAGAGACGAGAGATTTGGTCAACGAGAAAGTGTATACGAGACTCATATTCACGCGCCTGATCTAGAGACTCGACCTCCAGCTCCGCCAGCTGCGAGCAGAGTCTCTCCTCCGCCTCTTCAGCCACCACCGTCCGCCTCCACAACTGCATCATCTCGTTCTTCATCTCCTCCATTTCTCTCTCCAATTCTCCGTTCCTCCTCCGTAGCTGTTCCACCTCCTCCGCCGCCACCGTCATGTAACTTCCTCCTTTTCCCATTTTCTGATTTTTTTTTTTTGTATTCTGAAAACAATTTGTTTTAGTGGTTCTGTTGCCGTTGTAGTCTGTATGTGTACTTCTGTCTTGGGTTGCTGATCCTTTTAATAAGCGTTTTGGCCTTAGGATGATTAGTGTCCAGGTTCAATGTATCTCGTGTTGTATTTCATTATTATTATTATTCTCTTCTGTCAAACCAGTGTCCGTCGTGTATCTTCGGAAAGTCACCAGACGTGGCACGTTATACGTATTTGACTATTGCATATAATTTTTCTGATTTAATTCACTAGTTTTGCATGGAACATTTTACCAACACTCCTTTTAATCCTAACATTTTAGGGTATGAGAATCCAATTTATACATCTATCTAAAATTTTCTCAAAATATTTATCTCAAAAACTAAATTTTGTTATTCTTTCATTTAATTAAGATGTGAAGATTTTCGTACAAATGTGAGAACATCACACATACTGTATTTATGTACATATATATATATATATATATATATGTAGCTATCCCCCCCCCTCTTCATTTAAACCGGCTTTGCATGTAGCTATGTCCCTGTCAACTTTAAACTAAACCAATTCTATGGTAATATATATCTCCACAAATATCTCATGTGAATTTTGTAGTTTTCATATGAAGAATTCTGTTATTATAAGCCTTTTAAAAAAAAATTTATGTTGTTTTTAGTGTCATTATAATTTCTTTATTATCAAAAAATAGTTAATGAGAAATCTTGTACAACAGTAAATACGACAGTAGAAATCGCAGACAACATAAATTTATTAAAGGCGGATTCCTCTTTTTAAGAGATATCACCAGGATATTCTGTCGTTTCAGATGATTTGATGCTCTTTCAAAACTGTTCATCAAAAAAAAAAAAAGATAACTTTATACAGTAGTATTAGACAAAGGCAACAAAGAATCAAATCATGAAATAGATATTTTCAACAACTATTAAAAAAATGTCAGAAATATTAGTAGACAAATCCGGAATATCCCACACAACTTGATTGAGTTCCTTTACGTCCAGGTTCAATGTATCTCCTTTCTTCTCCGGTCTAGTCGTACTCTTCCCAAATCATATAATTCTGTTCGGTTCACTTCGGTTTAATTAACCAATGCCAATGTATCTGTTTGGTTAGCTTGGGATTGAAAATAAACTTTGAAACAAATTGAAGATTCAATTCATCCATCCTCGGCAGGCTTGGTTTTGTCTGATACCGTAATTATGACTTCATCGACTAAGATGAAGATGTTACCATTGTAAAATGGACGTATGGAACTTTCTCGTCGTCTTGGAATGGAAAGTGCCAGGGGCCAACGATCTCATCATCTAATTATTAAATCTTTAGGTCAAGTTTCGCATTGCTATAATAGTATAATGTAATCTAAAGAGCTCGATTGATACGTATAACAAAAACAAATAAATTCTCGTCAATTCGACTGCCACGTTCCCTCTAAAATATAAATTCAACGTTTCTCAGCACCATGTTATGATGTAATATTTTTTGCACTGAAGAACAAATTGTATATGATTATGGAAAAGAAAAATGACTCTCACTCAACCAATGGAACACCTTTCAGGAAAATAATGTGTAGAACACCTATTATCGCGTATGATATTATAATGAAAGTCTTAATTTCTACGGCTTCCATTAACCATATAATAAAACCCTTTTCGTCAAACTTTGTTGGACCATATTAAGCATTCAAGGAACAAAAATACTTTCACAAACCGACCTACCATAAAAACTTTCTCCATCCCATGATATACACTTTACACCGATTGATTCATTCGAGTTGAGATAATATGTCGCATGCTCTGGTCCTTTAGAAATTAATGATATTGAATCCCATGGATGAGTTAATATGTAGTAATATTCTTTTGTTCTGATGATTTCACACAAATTTTGTTTTGTCACATACGCACATCATATATTGATTAATATACCACATTTGAAGCATCTTCTAACCAAACAAGGAACATATGTTAGTTCCATATGTTATATTTGTTAGTTACAATTTTGTCAGTAAGTATCTTCAAACAAGTTAAAAAGTATATATATAACATTAGGCTGCTTTTTCACTGAATTTAATTCAAAGAAGAATCAAAAGTATGACCAGAATCTGAAAGTAGAGTTACTATTAGGCCTAGCCTTATGCATGTGCGGGGGGATGCATTGGCACATGGTCCACCATTTTTTTTTATTTTTTTCTAGTTTAAATTAGAGTTCTCTTTTTCAAAAAAAAAGAATTATATGAGGAAATATTTTTTTAGCTCAGGGACATCTAATACTTGAGACGGACCTGATTACTAAACACTTAATATCGACTGCTCAACTCGTATTTTATTACTTAATTACTAAGAACATGTCCTTATGGTGGGTTCTCACTAGAACTTCCTTGGCCATATGTCTTTTTCTACTGATTGTAGTTTTTGTTTCAACTAAAACATTAATTAATTATTTTATAAATATACAAGAAAACAATAATATTCAAGTATGATGTCAATGATCATTGAATCTAAGATGTTCCTATGTCAATACTTCTCTTGCGTTCTCTTTACACTCATACTAGGCTTTTACCAGTGTATCGTGTCTGGAGGCAGCTGAGTTTGTCTTTCAGTTATGATCTCATCTCCAAGGTTTCATCTTTCAGCCATGATGTTTTCTTTAGAGATGTGAAAGAGTGTTGGGGTCAAAATCGGTACGACGGAATTAATAGCCAAAACTTTCCGCAAGAATACAAAATGAACAGTTTTATAAAACTCGAGAAATCGTTTTATAAAGCTCGAGAATCGTTTTATAAAACTCGAGAATCGTTTTATAAAACTCGAGAAATCGTTTTATAAAACTCGAGAATCGCTTTATAAAACTCGAGAAATC